AAAAAATTTATTAATCATCAGCACAAATGACACTATTTCAAGTAATTTGGATGATTCTTTATTGTTGTTTTCCGAATTATATAGATACAGAAATATATACCGTTCTATAACAAAGAAGAATATTCTATAACAATTGCTGTTCTTGACGTTCTGAATTCACATTTATTTATTAGAATGACGAAAGCAATGTTAACTTCAGTTTAATTTGTAATGAATTGAAGACAGAAGAAATGCATTTTACCTTAAAACACACATCTGTAACAGTATGCGATAGCGAAATCGGATGTTATCAGTTGCAAGTTTGTTGATAATAGAAGTTGAAAATTATTGAGGAATTTTCTTCAAATGTTTGGCGTGTTCTGTTTCTGAAAGATTTGACAATTTTCTGGACAGTTTTCTTCAAGTTTTTCGGCTTTTTCCTTAGGGAAATTTTGCTTCTTATTTCGTGCAAAGAAAATGGCGACCGACTCTGCCAGTGATTCTGATGGAACTGAATGAAAACGTGATAAATTAATGTCTGATATTTACAGGCTCCCGCTAGAGGGCGTAATCGAGCGTTGCGATCACGAATTATATAATAACTTTTTTCATGGAAAAAAAAAACATAAATTTTTTTTTATTTATGGAAAATGAAATAGAAATAATTTTTCTCTCGAAATGTTGGGTTCTAACTCTTCAAATATTGAGAGGTCCGGACCCCTCACACTTCCTCTCCCCCAGTTGCGATGTACATGATTTACGCCTCAGCTAACTACTAAAGCGAGGCGAAAGCACTGACTGACGACTAAACGGTTAATAATGTCGCCGGGAATAAAAAACGGTAACCTTTTAGCTGTTGCCATCAAGAAAAGCAGACTTCCATCTCTTCGAATCTTAAGCTAATATCAAAAAAATCGGTTAGAGTATGACGCACTCAGAAAGCTTCGTCTTACAGCGCATGCGTTAAAGTATCCCACACGCTTTGGAAGAATGTAGATCTTGTTTACCAAATAGATCTACCAAATAGTAGAGTTCGAGCACGCGCACAGACTTCCCCAATTGCCAGTTGACGTGAACTTACTCCGACCGTTTCGGTCGTCTGCTACCGTTCAGAAAAGAAAGCTGAAAACAAAACCGATCATAACCAAATCACCGGTTATAGTTTGTTGATATGGAGAGAAAAGCGCTTGAAATGGGAACTCTTAAAATTAAATTGTAATTTTGAAAGTAAGTACGATGCAATAAGACTCATATTAAAGGAATCTCTTAGTGGTATCTCTCCGTCAGAAACTCTGAAAAATGAATTTAATTTCATAAAGGCATAAGATGTCTTTGTTTATTTTCCTTGAGATGCTGATTTTATTAATCATAGAGAGGAACGTATTTAAAATGGTTCTTATTTAGAAATTATGATAGTACTTTTTGTTTTAGTGTGCCCTTTGTAGGTCAGATAAATAACACTGTCGGCTTTTCTCCTCAATTGCTATAATTATTTTTTTATTTGTTTCGAATTTTTTGCTTTGACTCTCTATCAAATACATATTTTCCAATTGAAAATTTTCCTAAAAAGTCACACAATTAAACATTAAAATTTAGATTTGTTACAATATTGAAGTTTAAAGGTTAAGAATCATGATATAATCAATGTTATAAAACATATAAATATCATGAAACATATCAAATGTTACAAACCATTTATATATCATTGGATGCAAAATTATTTAAATTTTTTTTTTCTGCAATTTCACTTGCATTATAAAATTTCTTCATTGTTCATTAAGTTGTAATAAAACATTTCTGCAATCATATTCAATTTTGTGCATAATTATGTTATCGAAGAACATTAATATTAAAAAATATCAAGCATATTTCTGATTTTAAGAGCATCTGTTTACCTATAGATTTCAATAAGAAAAATTTATATAGCTCACTAAAAGAAAATGATTTAGTAACTATATACAGTTCTTAAATATTTATTGCTTAAAATCTTGTTTGCCCTAAAAAAATTTGCCAAATATTTAGCTTTCTACAAGCAAAGTTGATTTCAATGACTGTGAAACCTCCTATGGTCACTCCTGCGAAATGAATGTCTCTCAATACGGACATATTTTTAATTCTCCCTGAATCTTCTATGAATAAACCATTTTATACATTCTCTTCGAAGCGAACACTCCCATAACCACACTCAGACTGTCATTTTTGCCCTGAAACGTTATTTTCTACCTCTTCAAATTGGACACTATTTTTTCTAAATTTGAAAAAATGACTTTTTCTGCATTAAATTGCAAAAAAATGAAAAGATATTAGTTATTTAGAAGTTATAAGAAAAAATGTACTGCTTTAAATTGTAAAAAAATTGTGTTCAATAAAAATTATTCACAAATTGATGATAAAAATCTAAGGGTACATTTTATTCATAACAAATTAAAATATGCAAAATACTGAAAATATTTATAAATTTTTTAAATCAATATATTAGATACTGATATTAATTATATATGTTAAAAACACAAAAATTGCAGTTTCTTTTTTTCAAAGGTGACATAAAGAAATAAAAAATTATTTCATCTAATTATTTGAAGTTGCCAAATTTTCATACATCAAGCTTGGTACAGCACTGTATAGGACTCGCTGAAATCAAGGTTTAGAAGTTTTTGATAATTGATGGTTCTATGCAGTTTTAAACATGTATTAAACCATTATGTCAAAACTTCTTTTTGACACAGTTTTTGACAATTGTCAAAGACCCAAAACTTTGGTATAAGGATAATTATTAGCTATTATAAATAAACATTCATATAAAATAAGAAGTGATCAATCATGTTCTTAAAATATTTTAATATTAAACTTTCTTTTTGACTGTCAAAAACCCAAATTTTGGTGTGGAAAATATTTAATAATTATAAATAAAAATGTGTTGTAATTTATCCAATAGGTTAATTTTTTAATTATTGAAAATTAAAATACGAAAACAATCATCTTATTAAAAAAATACTTAACAATAACTGTATTTATTAATATGTAATGGGTATTGAAACTAATCCTCTTTGCAGAGGTTGTCACCTTGAAGAAGAGACATCATGACGTATACTTTGTGATTGTGAGGTCTATAATGCTCAAAGATTTGAGCATTTAGGGCAGCATTGTGTTAAGGCCTGGGAACTGCAAGATGTTCCTGTAAGGCAGGGGTGTCAAACTCAAAAGCTAACTTGGGCCAAATAAACAATGCTTAACTTTAGGTGAGCCGCAAAAAATAAATCAATGTTCTTAGAAACAAATATTTTTATTTTGAATAATACATTGTAATAAGCATATGTAAAGTTAAATTATTGTATGATACTTGACATCTCTTCTCTGCTACTATCTTGCTTATTTCGGGAGAAATTTTATTGGCCGTGACTACTTTCAAAATTGACCCAACGTGAGTGTTATTAATACGGTTTCGAACAGGAGATTTATTTCTGTTCATAACAGAAAATAATTGCTCGCACTGATAAGTACTTCCAAACATGGAATTAATTTCATATGCGAATTTTCGAGTATTTTCAAATCTTGCCGGTAAATATTTGTAAAATTCAGGCCACTTCAATGAATTTTGCCTTCAAATTTGAATCGCATTGAATCTCAATCACTTCCATTTGCATATTACTGGGCACTGAGTCTATATTTATTGAGAAAATCGACTAAAACAAAAAAAATTTGTCTTCCAAAGAATTAAAATCTTTAAACCTTGTTTCAAATTCTGTTCTAAGATTTGAAATTTTTTCTGTGTATTTTTGATACGATCCCTGGAATGGCAGGTGCCGCAAGCCAATTACAATTTTACATTTTCACGCGTACAATTTAAAATGATCCGCATAGTTTATAAATAAAGTATATTATAATTTCGTATGCTAGTTTTCTTTCTAATTCACATTTCTATTTTATTTTCACTTTGCGTCGAATATATTGACTGGGCCGCAAAAATGTTCACCTCGGGCCGCGAGTTTGACACCTCTGCTGTAAGGTGTTTGCTGAATTTTATTTCAGCTATAGGGCTTTCTTGCTAATCATGATTTAGGGTTTGGGTACAATGGACCTCTGGTTGATGTGCCCTGCTCTTCTCCATCTTCAAAGCATGCAATTACGAAAAAAAAAAGAAATTTTTAAGCCCTCTGTACCCCAAGTTCATTTTTTGGTTTTGTCTGAATAAAACCGAAATTCAAAACTATTTTTTCGACCCCATGACAGACTTGTGGCGACATTGTTGCAGAACATTACAGAGTTTTTGCAGAAAGATTTTTCTTTTGGGAAGGGAAAAATTTAGGTTTTCCTCTCTGCATAACTTTTCGAATTTTTTTTTTTTTTTTTTTACAGAAATTTCTTGAAGATGTCTTTCTTGTGCATCAGAGAGGAAAGAAATAATCATGATTTTTCTATTCTCATTTGAGATTTAAAATAAATAAATCTGCTTCAGCTAGAATTTCAAATTAATAATATATATATATATATATATATAAAAAAATCAGAAATCACGAAAGTTTAAAAGATAGTTCACTCCAGAAAAGATGATCTTTCTTTCATTATTTTTTTCTTTAAGGAACACCATTTTTTACATACACTTATTTGAGTATCTCTTTTTCAAAGAGTCCTATTCGTGTGATGAGGAAATAATTAGTGCATTTTTCGCCTGCAAAATGCGAGAATATCGCCTATTCTATTAGAGTTAAAAAATATATATTATTTTTACAATTAAAAATTTTTACACATTTTTATTCTATAATTTCTTCCGTAAACACAACATTTCTATTACTTTAAATTAGTAATTGTTATAAATAAAAGTATCTTATGGCAAAATATACATATGGGTGATTCTCACGAAACATGACAATTCGGACCAAAAAATTTCTTCAAATTTGAAGTCTTCAAAATAATCTAAAATTTTTTTTGTATACTTCTTTAGCTACACTTATTAACATCTTATAGACAGCAGTGTAGTTTATTGACATTTGCTCGAGAAAAAAATAAAATAGAAATTCACCAAATCTTGAATGTCAGGAAAATGACATATTACCTTAAAAGTTTAAAAAACAGTAATTTTAAGTTAATAGTAAGTAATTCAACTTAAGCCTTTATGTTAGATGGACCATAAATTGCTTAAATTAATTCTTTTTATCCACTGTAGAAAGAAACAAAAAAATTTTTGTTGCTGATATGTACAGAATAAAATTGTGTATAATAATCAATCATTAAATAAATAAATAACTGATTACATCCAAGCATATTACAATCATACATAAACTTGGTATTAGGTTAATATTTGCTTTTCCTCTTTACAGTATTAGCAGTTAAAAAGAATTTCTGGTAACACTTCAATGTCCTGGCATTCATAAGCCAGGATAATGACAAATTCGCTATTTTATTATTTTATAGCATATAACTTTACTTTAATTTAATATTTTGGCCGAAAATGTTTATATTCTGCAGAAAACAACAGTATTTCTTAAAATAACTCAGATAAATCTATGTAGTTTTTGTTATTAATGATTTCAAGAAGCCAGGAAAATGACAGCATAAAAACCTACTCTCCTTGAAAAAATTTTTGAAATAGTTTTTAAGCCAGAAAATTGGTTCTTTATTCATGCAACAAGACATGTTCAGATAGGAGGGTCTCTAATCAATCTATTAACATAAAATATTGATTCCTGGCGCTATCTATTTTGGTTATGAATCACTAAATAAAAGTAGCCTGGAAAATGACAGATTTTCATGGGACAAACAAATTATTAACAGAAAAAATTATTTTAAACGAAGTTTTAGTAAACAATACCCTCTGCGTATATTCCAGAAATGCTTACATAGGATAAGATAAAAGAAATTAGATTTTGAAAAATTTATGGTAAGTTTTGAAGCTAGTTATTATTGAAAATATTGTTTGGGACATGCCATGAAAATGACATTTTGATATTCAATTAAATTTTTGCTAGTGCAAAGTCATTTTAAAATGCTAACAGCAATGCTATTTATTACTTTTTTTTAAAAAAAAGTTCTTTTAGTATTATAGTATTAGATTTTGGAGCAAGGGACAGTGAATTTCATGTTTCGTGAGAATCACCCATATATATATTAGTGCCAGGGAAGTTTGTTGCTGAAAGCCCAAAAAACTTATGCCACAGTGTCTTTTGATTGATGCTGAGCTGAATGGACTAGAATCTAGATGTACTAAAGCTATTATAACATAATAAAATAACTTGTAATAAAGAAATTTATTCTTATAACTGTGATAAATATTGATAGTACTACCTTAGTTAAACCCTTGAATTGATTGACTGAAAAAATTATTAATTCATTTAAAAAACATTTATATTTTTTGTAAATTATTATTAGTTTGCTTATCAGAGTGGAGAATATTCTCAGAGCTTAATATTTCCTCAGAACAAAGTTTTCTTTAGATCAAAATTTCCCTAAAAGTTTTAGATTTTTTTTTAATGCAATAACTTTTTCCAAATATTTTTGGATAGTAAAGTTTATATAAGAAAAAAATTTATTTATTTTATACAATTCTTAAATAAACAAGCATGTGTTAAAAATAATATAGATCAAAATAACTAATAATTTATTAAATTAATGGTACATCTCATAAACTTAAGGTATTCAAACTAATAAATACATAAATTGACATATAATGTTTTTTAGCAAGGAAAAATGTTTGCTAAGTGACACATTTCTTAACATTAAAATGTTTTGTAGGAATTTTTTTAGACCAAAAATTTCCCAATGGTTGCTTGAATTTCCTTAAAAAACTCGCTCACAATCATACATATTTTGCTCTCCTGCTTATAAGTTATAACAACAAATATTGAAAATCTAAAAATAAATTTTATAAGTTGAGATCAGGCAATTATTGGCAAACACTTTGCTTTCACCTATCTGCCTAAAGCATGTGGCATAAAAGAATTAAAATCAATATTTATATTGATTACAATTAGCAACTTATAGTTATTATCGGTAATATAAACTGAATAGTTATAATATAGCAAATAATATTGATCTTAAAATTTTAAGAATATCATGTTTTTCAAAAAACCAATTAATAGTTTCAATAATTTTGGCTATATTTTTTATAAATGATATATACTATAAATTATAATTATACATAGTAGCATATAATAAATGTATGGAGCATGATTTAATATGTAATAAAATCTAATAACTATTCTAATAAAATATCTAAAACAAAGAAAATTGTCCAAGGTTTTTGATAGTTTTTGTCAGATTTCAACACTTTTTGACAAGTTTTTGATGTGTCGTGTCAAAAGCCTAATTTTTTACATCAAAAACCCTACCCCAACTGAAACAGTTGAAAAAAAATATAGAATGGTTTCCAGGATAACATTATTGAATTTTGGTAATATTTTATGCCCTAAATTAGTATGTCGAGTTTAGAACGGCAGATGCGAAAACCTGAAATAAATCTATACCATGATACAAGATTTATTGATTCCATCCTGATTGATGATTAATTTTAAATGAGAGTGTTTAAATATCTTATTCTAAAAGTTAAAAAAAATATATATATATATATATATATATATATTTGCAATCTTGACCTATTATAGAATCTGCCTTAGAAAATTTTTATTGGAGAAGTTTTAGACTATGGCTTACCTATATAGCTAACATTATACTTAATATACTATAGCTAATATTGTGCTAACATTATGCTTACTAAGAGATTACTTTCTTGCACATAATTTGGCCCATTGAGTGGTTTACCTTCTGCCAAGTAAACATGCTTTCCTTATATGTATTTCACAAACATAATTAACCCTTTCCCTTACTTTCCACTTTTTTGCATCAAACCATTTTAACACCATTTACTAAATTCCACAACTTCAAGTTTATAATGGCACTGGACTTAAGCACGGTAGAGCTTAAAATTTTTTGTTGATTCTTAAACATTCATTAAATTGATTATATTATACATTAATTAAAGTAGATTATTCATCATTTAAATGTAGCACAGATTTTTTGTTCACCCTGTATGATATTTTGATTGATATCAGTTATATAACCTTCATTATATGTTATTACCCTTTTTTTCAGATCATTACACCTGGAATTGTTCATATTCTATACATCTAAAAAAAAATTCTCTGTACTGTAAAATTTGAGGTTATTTGGAATTGATACAGTATGGACTTTAATGACATTTTTGGACCCAGCTCAAGCCACCTGTGCCGTGAACGCCAGTTTACGTCTGACCCTGGAAATTTGGATCTCCCTACACCACATGTCTTTTTAGATGATACAAGTATTAGTGATGCTAATTTTTCATTACCTGGACCATCTAAAAATGTTATTTTTACTGATAGTGATGTACGTAAACTAACTTTTTCAGAATATATGTTATATAAACAAACTATTCGTCATTTTCTAGATTTATATTGAAAAATAACTAAGTACTAAAGTTAAGGAAAACATTCTAATAATGAAAAAATTAGCAAAATAAAATCAAACTAAAATAAAAATAAAATTATTTATATCATGTTGGTCAAAATTTGTTTTGTAAAATATAAAAGCAGTTTCTTAATTATTAAGTTTACTATATTAAAAATACAAATTTTCTTTTATTTTAAAATGTAAAAAAAAATTTACAAAGTTACAAACAATTTACTGAATGACATTTCTGTCATTCTCTGTAAGTGGTTAAATAATAAGGTGTTTTCCCTTAGTTTGCTATTTTTAACATGAAATACAAGAGAGTTATTATATAAGATTTGCATAAAAAATTAAAATAATCCCTCATACTATATTATTAAAAGTTTGAAACCTTAGAAGAATGTTTGGTGACACATGAGTACTTATATGCCCTTCAGTCTTTTCAGAAACTATTAGTGATTAAGGCTACCTTTTTGTCAAAACATGGGCATTGTTGACCTGGGAGCAAACATGTAGAATACTTGACAAATGCAGAAAAAATGTTCCCTATTTAAAAGTGCTAGGCTGGCTCTTAATGGGGGTGCGTTAGAAGAACCCTTAACAAAACTTATAAAATATTCAAACAACCAGTTATTAGTTATTGTATTGAAATTCTTGTAACCGCCTCCAAAACGACTGTCAAACAGCTTGACATATTACACAACCAAACTTCTCATCACTGGTGCATTAAAGACTACCCCCATACTAGCAATGCAGATTTTGACCAACTCTGAACCTTTTGATAATTTTATCGAAAGAAAAGCAGTAATCCTGTTTCAAAAACTCAGGAGCCTGCCTAACAATCCTCTCTGGAGAAATTGTGACATAAATAGAACTAGGAATCTTAAATTCAAAGATGGATTTATCCTGGCAGCATCGAGGGTTGCTAGCTCTCTTGAACTTCATCACGAGGCTTCTACCTCTGCCAATGTGCCAGCTGGATTATGACCCCATCATGTTAATCTTGATCTAAATATAAAAATGGTGAAAAAGGACATACTTACTTACTTTACTTATCCTCTACGTGCCTTGGGCACTTAAGGCCTCCAGCATATCCCTCCAACGCCTCCTGTCTTTAGCAATAGATCTTGCTTCCTCCCAGCCAGATATTCCACATTCTTTTAATTCGCCCAAAAACATGCGCTGGATGGTAAGTCTGGGTCTTCAATTAGTTCTTTTACCATCAGGGGCCCATGTAAGCGCAACAGATGAAATTTTTTCTTTGGGCATTCTAAGGATATGTCCGAGCCAGCTCCATCTTCGTTTTTTAATTTCATCTTCGATTGTTTTTATTTTAGCTTTCTTTAATAGATTTTGATTTGATACTTTGTAAGGCCAGAAAATTTTAAAAATAAATCTTAAACATTTGTTTTGAAAGGTTTCTAATTTTTGTATTTCGATCTTAGTCTGTTTCCAGGTTTCTGCGCCATATAATAGTACTGCTCTAACAATAGCTTTGTAAACAACTATTTTTGTCTTTATTTCAATATTTGACTCTCTCCAAAATTTATGTAATCCCTTAAAACATGTTCTTGCTTTGATTATTCTCTGTCTAATATCTTCACTACTTCCACCTTTTTTATCTACAATAGAACCTAAATAGCTAAATGACTCTATGTCATCTATTTCGTGATTTTCGATTTTAATTTTGTCATTTTTCTTTTGATTTATTCTCATTACTTTAGTTTTCTTCTTGTTCATGAATAAACCTACACTATTTGAATATTTGTTGAATTTGTCTGTTTTAAGTTGAAGGTCTGTACATTTGGATGAAATAAGTACGATGTCATCAGCAAAATCAAGGTCTTCTAAAGTAGTTGTGAAATTCCACCTTATTCCTCTTTTTTCATCTTTCAAGCTGTTTCGCATAATCCAGTCTATCACCAGTATAAATAAAAATCCCGATAAAACACATCCCTGTCTCACGCCAGTTTTTACTAAAAAGAATTCAGTTAATTCTCCATTTACTTCTATACATGCTTTGCTGTTATCATACATATCTTTGATTATGTTAATATATTTTTCTGGTATATTATAAAATGATAAAATTTCCCATAATTTCTCTCTCTTAACTGACATAATTCCTGAACAAATGAAAGTCATTGCTGTGGAAACTATGCATGATTAATTTCCTAGAAGTGCGGGGTTACATGTGTTTACAAATGGCTCCATACAAAATTGGCAAGATGGTGCTGAAGCTGGTATATCTTGCAAGCTTTTTAACTTCAATTTACCTATGGGATCATTTACTTATGTGCCTTTGATGGCAAAGTAGAGGCTATTACTGTAGCAGTTCAACAGTTATCACTAAGGAGATCTAGCTTTGACAGGACCGTTATCTTTTCTGATTCGAAATCAGCATTACTGGCCTTATCAAAAAATTAGTGTGTATGACAGTGAATTTTGGAATGCAGGTTGTTTTTAAAAGATATTATCCATAAAATCTCTGTCTAATGGGTACCTGTGCACTGTGGAATTGTAGATTATGAATAAAATGGCTGCTGATATTCTTGTAAAAAAAGGAGCCTTGGTTGTCCAAAGACCTAAAGGAATGCGACCTTTTATTCAGTGTGACTTTTAAGCAATTTGACATTTAATCAGAACTTGAAGTTAAAAAAAGCAGAGGCATATAATGTTAAGAGCTGGACAATCCTTATTTAACATCCCAACTATGTTCCTAATGCCCTTAGAAAAGCAGCTGTGACTGGCTTTAGACTTTCAACTGGACACGACTGTCTAATGTCTCGCCTCTTACATATCGATTCGCAGATTCACCTGACTGTTCTCTTTGCGACTAGTCTTCCTTTTGACTGCTGAACATTTAGGCCTGGGCCCTGCATTACAGAATTTTAATTGTACAGTTGAGGAGAGCACGAGCAATACTGGAGAGCACACACACTAATGGTGTTGGTACTATTGTTTATAATAGTGTGTGGCTGAATTAGAAAATTTCTGAATAATGAAAAGATAAAAAGAAAACTAACATTATAATAATAAAATAACATTTAAAAAAATACATAAAGTAAAATTTTGAAAAATTAAAAAATATTTGTAAAAATCTGGGGTAAAAAGGAAGATATAATCTCTTCATCAGCTCATTCAATTATATCCGCAAAAAGGAGTACTTTCTAATGTATCAATATAGCCAAAGCCAAATATATCAATACAATAGTATAAGGAGTACTAAAAAAGATTGAATCAAAATAGAACACATTAAGTAATAAATATCACGTAAAAAACAGAAAATAAAATGTAAAGAAAAAACAGAACAAGACACAAAACGAAATCTATAAAGCAAGTAGTAGCGAATTCAAATTAACTTACATGGATGGAAAGAAGGATTTAAAATATTTTTGTTATAAGATTGCCAGATTACGAAGTATGAAAACAGAAGCACAAATTGAGCTAAAAGTGTAAATAGAGAAATTTTGTTTTATAGCGCTTTCTTATACTGCAGTACGTTTAATTTGATAGTTACCAAGAATCGGCACGAAAATGGATGTACTTGCAAGGTAATAATGTTATACTGGATAATTTGAAGAAGTTTATAATGAGTAAGATTGATATTTAATTATAAAATTTTAATGATTTTAGAAAATTAACATTTATTTTTTTAAAAAAAAGTGAGAAAAAGAAACATGAATTGCCCATTTTGCACAGATTTGCCCAAAATGGATTTGCACATGGTAAAAATATATAAATTAACGAAGAAGTTTTTAGTAAATTTATTTATAACAACATACAATTAACTCAATGATTTTATATAGAATACAATTTAGTTGAGTATCCATTGTTTTGTATCAAATTTTGAAAGAGTTTGTTTATTTGTTTTTTGGATAAATAAACATTTCTACATATTCTTTTAATTCTATTCATTTGATTAAAAATGGTATTTAAATAAATGTTTTTTAGAAACATTAGAATTCCAAGTAATTAGTTTATTTATATTAAAACTAATATAATTTCTTTTATCGTATAAATCAACAAAGCAGATATTTTCTTCTTTTATAATACCCAAATCCAAAAAATTAATGTTATTATTATGATTACAAAGCAAAATTAATTCCTCAGGGTAAATATTATTTAATAAAATTGTATAATTTGAAAATTAAAGATAATTAAATCATCAATAAATCTAAAAACAAATTTAATGTTAAGAGTATAATCTTTTTCATAATAATGCAAAAATAAATTAGCTAAAAGAGATGAAAAATTAGATCCTTGTGGTATTCCATCAATTTGATTAAAAATATCTTTTCCACTGTAAAAATAAATATTTAAAAGACAAAAATTAATTAGAATTTCCCAATAATTGAAATCCCAATCAAGGATATTTTTAAAATCATAGTAATAACTCAAATAGTGATGAATAATAGCTGCAGTATAAGAAGTTGCTTTATTATGATGGAAAACTCATGAATTTTCTCACCATATTTGAGATCATTTTCTACCAATTGTTTCATGCAAATGCTAAAAACTTTTTCAAATAATAATCTTCATTGACTGTCTTGCCAGTTGGTAAGGATTCATTATACTCAATATCTCACCAATAGAAAGGTCAACATTACCATATGTTATGAGCGGCATTGATGTGGTCCTTCTTGTCTTGCCTTCTGTTTTAAGTGGTATTCACTTAATTTTTTAGTTGTTTCTGTTGGAAAAACATATGTCCAAGTTTAGTTCCCAGTAACTATTGTTTTGAAAAGGAATTGTCAAATGAAAGCGTCTCCCGTAAACACAATGTTTTTGAACAAATTTGATGTTTTTGGAATTACTCAAGATGGGATGTTTTGCAACCTTTAATGTTCTTTTAAAACCGCTTGACAGGGACCAAATGATTTAGGCAACATATTTCATAATTAATGCCTTTTATTGTCGAACCGAAATGACTGAGTATCAGTTCTCTGACTTAATTGATGTCCTAATCATTAATCAAAGTGAATGGTCTGCCAGATCTTTCATCTTTGAATTTTTTATACCTAGTATCAAATAACTGCAGTTTTTGATAAATATCTATCTTTAGAAGCTTTCTGCAGCATTTTTAATGCTTTTATAGGAGAAATTTTATTGAGAAAATAAAATGCGTGTTCTTAGCTAAATGACATTTTCATTTTACAAAAAATCAATGGACTGAAAGTTCTTAACTTATTAAAAACTAATTTGTTTTCAGTTGATAAAATTAAATACTGTTCTATTTTTAAATGTTTATAGAAGTTGTGAAAATGTTTGATAAAAGTTTTGAAACAATATCTACTATATATGAATTTTAAGTGAAGCATTCTTGATATGTTTTGATCCCAGTAGTAAGTATGTGTAAATATTTATATTTCCAGCTGTCATCAGATGATGAAGATCTCAACTTAGATATTGTTGACTTATCATTGCCTGCTCGTGCAGCAGAACAGGCTGAACATCTTGTTCGTAAAGTCTTAGAAGAAGCAGAACAGGCAGAGCATTTAGTCAGAAAAGTTTGGGAAGAAGCTTGGAAAGTGAGGATTCATAATTATTTTAATTTTGCCTGTTTTATTCATTGAGGAATAATACTGATTCTTTTTTTTTCTTTAGATATGTATATATGTTGTCATAGATGTTTTTATATGTCATTTCCCCATCATGTGACACCTAGAGAGTGGTTCTAACAGGAGGGCAAGAGGGTATGTGATTCCTCTTGCCCTCTAGGTAATGTGTACCCTCTCGTCACTGCAAATTTGTCGTATTTTTGCACACAAAAAAACATGACGAGTCTATTTAGCAAAATTGATTGATTTTTTACACTTCTGTGAAGGGAATTCTTGCTATGCCTCTGATTGTAACCATATAACGAAACTTTCTTAATTTATTAAACATCTAGTACTCTTGCTGCACATGAATTTTGCTCATTACCGTGTTAAGAAAAAAAAAAGTATTGAGCTTAATAGAGTGAGTTAGAGAATCTTGAGAAAATTTATCTAAGTAATAAAAATTAACCTTACCTAAGTATCACTTGGTATTTTGTGGGAAAGAAGAGGTATACCAAATGTTTTAGACATTTTGTTAATATGGGCTTGATGCTCATATAAATTAAGAATTGTCTTGAGTCTCTGAATATTAAAAGTAATCTGATAATAGCAGTAAGTAATTTTCATAGGTGTAGCAGGAATTTCTAGGTTTTGTAAGTTGAAAGCAGTTCATAATACAGTGGAAAGTCCCATATCCAGAATCGTCAGACTTCGACTAATCCGGAAAATAGATTCTTCTGGATAATTGGTTTTAAGGTAAACAAAGATAAATATGTGTATTATTCCAATAAAATAAAGGTAATTAACATCTATTTTAATACAACAACGTTTCATTATTGGCTTAATGGCATTTAATTAGCTATGTAATATTTAGTATGATAAAATGAATTTACTGATAGAATTTTTTTAAGAAAATGAAAAAGTAAGCAGATCATAACTCGAATTTTTTCTACAATGAATAAAGACATGTTTTGTTTTAAATTTTATACCATTTTCTTTCTTTTTTTTAGTTTGAAAGAAGATATTCAAATTACAATAAAAAACAAGCATCAAATTTGAAAAGTTAATTAATCCTATTTATTAAAAAATAAAACACAAAGCCTGACTACTGGTTTTTCTTTCAAACTCTGTTAATATTCAGCTTCATTAATATTTCTATTTTATTCCTCTCGTCAAAGTTTGTTTTTCTTGAACTGCTCTCATCTTTTCAACAACTCTTTAAGTATTTTTGTTAAAGTAGTATAAATGTTTACAATCTTGAATCCAGCAAGAAGCAATGTTTTCTTTTCTTTGTATGTAAGATTTTATAACAAATCATTAATATAAAAAATGGATTATTTTTAAATTTGTCATGTGGTTTTATAGCTGTAGAGACATATTAAGGGTAGGGGGTCATTATGTGAAAAATGAAACCATCAGTGGCGGAAGCCAATAATTTAAACTCACTCATATTTTTACTGACTCAAATTACTGTGATAGAAAATTTATGGAAACTTGAAGATATTTGTATCATGGATTGATGTGAAATTAAAGATAGGAATGAATTGAAGTTAGCTGCTCAAACCTATTTTGAGAGGACTGTAAATTTGAATAAAGAAGAAAGATATGAAATACAATTACCTTGTTTAAAAAAAATTATATTTTACCTGATAATAAGAAGGTCGCCAAAAAAGATAAGTGTCTGATGCAAGAAAACCAAAAGACGCCAATAAATTTTCAGATTGCAATTCTGTTTTTGAAAATTGGGAGTTAATTGAATATGTTTCACATGTTGTTGAAAACAGTAGTGCACAACATCTTCCTTACAGAGTTGTTTTTAAGGATAGAGTAACAACAGCTGTGAGACCTGTTTTCAACCCTTCTACCAAAAAGGAAGGATCTGTTTCTCTAAGTAATTGCCTAGCAAAATGAATAAAGTTGTTGAATTGATACCTGCCATAATTTTATTCAAAATAAAATTGGAGTGACTTCAGATATAAAAGGCTCTTTCCTGAAGATATCAGTAAACTCGAAAGATCGCAATTATTAAAATTTTTTTTATAGTAGAAGTCTGATAAACAGTTATAAACTAAAGTATTTAAGCATTGCCGTGTAGTTGAATTTGGCTTAAATTGTAATCCTTTTCTCCTTGGCGCAGTTATAAAGCATCATTTAAGCAAATTTAAGTCTGATATTGCAAAAAAGCTAGATTTTTCTTTTTATATAGATAATCGTATAGCATCAGTAAACACGGAAGAAGAATTGAAGCATTTTGTAGATGAAGCGACATCAATAATGGCTGAAGAAAAATTTAAATTGAGGTGCTGGGAACATATTAAACTAGTTAGTGATATTCAGGGTTGGCAGGTTTTTGACATGTGACAGTTTTTGACAGTTTAAACCATGGTTTAAACCGTCACGTCAAAAACCTCACTGTCAAAAATGTCGAAAATGTCAAAAACCTATATTCATATGTGAAATTTAATTAATACATAAAATTTATATATTTTTTATAAAGGATAGTGTTTCTAAATATGTTCTAGAAAAAATAAATTTAAAATTTTGAAGAAACACTTATATTTTGAATAGTAACCAAAATCTTGTACTTTTGAAAGCTCACATCTTTTGTAATATTATGTATTCATTTTCATGTGTTATTGAAAATCTGCAGTGATATTATTAAGAAATTTATTTATAACCAAATTTAGTGTATAGTATAGATTATACTAAAAATTAGACATTTTTAAAGATAAACATTAGCAGTTTTGTACATTAGACATCTTTTAAAGAAAAATCTTTTTAATATTCTTTTAAATCTTCTTAATAATCTTTTTAACATAAGACAATACAAATTTAAGTGCTTTCTGTTAAATACACAGAGTAGTTAGTGTCGATTTACAGTATATTCAGCCTATTCATTTACTATGCTGAAAATTTAGTTTATCCAAATACTTGTGAATTTCATTTTGCTGAATACGATATAGTTTTGTTGAATATCTAAATATTCAGCTGTTGAATAATTACTTCTTGCTTTCAAGATATGCATTATTTGTATTCTTAATACAAGTGGAGAAAAAAAAATTAAGAGATAAAAATTTTTTTAGAATGATAAGTGTAATAATTATAAATAAATATAATAAACGATATGAATTATATTTATCATTATTCATAAATATAACTACTTTTAAATTCAAATTAACACACTGGATAATAAAGATATTCGGTATAACATTAAAAAATTTTTTTTATACCCTTGTATCAATCAAGTTTGTATTTATACAGCATGTCTTGTAAGTTCCTTATAAGTATTAGTTATATGTTCCTTATTTGTCAAAAATGCATAATAATAAACTTTTCATTTTCTTAAGTATCAAAAAGAAGAATTTTTTTTTTTAAATATAAATATTTAGACAATTTTTGTGCAAAATTTTTCTGCACATGCATTTGAATATAAATTTCTGAGATTTTAAATCTGTTATTTTACCTTAATTTTAATTAAAAAATATTTTAAAACCTGCTGATTACCTATAGTATAATTAAATTTCAATATAATGCATGGCAACTGTTGGTAGTTTTGAAGTTTATATATTTTCTTGGCAAACTTCAGTTTTTGACATTTTTGACGGGTTTTTGACGGTTTAAACCAGTATTATACCCTTGTCATGTCAAAAACCACTTTTTGACGTCAAAAACCCAACCCTGGTGATATTGATGTGACAGTTGAAGTAACAATAGTTCTTGAATTATTGTTGGATAAAAATGAAGACAAGCATTTCTGCAAACTTCCAAAAGTTGAATAAAATGCAAAACATGCTAATTATGAGGCGTACAGTTTTATCTATTGCTCAAAGGGTATTTAGACCTATTGAATTTAGGTGCCCAGTCACATTGATGCCATAATATTGCAAAGAAGTTGGCATGAAAAATTTAGTTTGAATAGCATTTGCCAAAGGATTTGAAAAAGGAAATTTGAACTTGATTGAAAGATTTACTTTTACTATTGTCAGTTAAAAGTCCCTCAACAAGTCACCTCAAACTATTCAGCTTTCAAGAGCTTAAATGTTTTCAGTGATATTTAAAAATTCATATGCTACTGTCATTTTTCTTTGCAGTGAAACAAAAGAAGTCAAAGTGCTGCTTTTACAAGTAAAAGTTAGAGTTGTGCCATTAAAGAAAATTACCATTCTAAGACTTGAATTCTTGACTTGTTACATAGGAGCTCAACTAACTGATTTAGTCAAAAAAAAGTATAAAAGCAGAATATCTCAAAGATCAAATTCAACAATTGCCCTTTTCTGGATTAAAGGTAAAGATCAATTTTGGAGAATGTTTGTAAATAACAGAGTATGTAGAATAAGAGAACTTACTGGCATTGAAAGTTGGCAACATGTTCCTGAAACCCCCAAGCCAACTGACTTACCTTCAAGAGGGTGTATGTTCTCTAAGCTATTAGAGACCAAATGGTGAAAGGGGGCCGTTTTGGTTGTATAAATCTAAAGAAGAGTAGCCTTAACCCCTTCCAAATAAAAATATAAAAGAAATATTGGCCGAGCAAAAGAAAATTGTTACAACTTCTCTGATTTGTGAGAGTAACAAAGACTTATGAATACTTTCTTACTTTTTGTGCTACTCAAAAATTTTAAGAATGACAACATGGTTAAGATTTTAAAAGAACACTAAAAAATCTGCTTCAAATCTCGAAGTTAGAGAATTAAAAGTCTATTAATTAGACAATGCCAAAAAAATTTTAGTTAAACAGATTCAAAGAAAATCCTTTAATGATACAGATTTAAGAAATTTAGCATCTTTAAGGGTTTTTTGAGATGATGAAGGCGTTTTTAGAATTTTTATAAAGTTAACTGAGAGAAAAACCGTGAAAACTTTGTTAATCCTATGCTACTTCCGAATAACCATAAGCTAGTAGAATTGATTATTTATAGTCTGCATCTAAGTATGTGTCATACTGGAGTACAAATATTAATGTCCAAATTATGAAAACAATTTTGGATTCTTTGTGTTCGTAAAACAATTCATAAATTTTGACTGGACTATGGTATTAGAATGTTTCTGGAAAATAGAGTTAAAAATGAACATGTCTTCAAAAAAACAAAATTGAATCTGGTGGGACCTGTAATACTTGGAGAAAAACATAAAGCTTTGATCATAATTTTTACTTGTTCTGTCTACAGAGCCATTCATCTAAAGTTGATAGCTTCCCAAAGTTTTTTGCTTGGTTTACAAAGATTTATTGCCAGATGAGGGAAACCGAAAATTATATACAGAAATAGCGGCAGTAATTTAACTGGCCAAATAATCTATTAAAATCTTTGGATTTGATGCCTATCGGAGATGAAGCATCAATCAACCGATCAAAAAGGAAATCTAAATTATATACTTACAGAAGTTTAAAAAAAGTTATTTAAATCAAACAAATCACTATTGAAAAAGGCTGGATTGAAAACATTAAAATAAATCTGATTTGACAGATGAAACTTCAGATTTTGATGTTTCAACTCACCTCACTTAATATTGATGCATTAGATTTTAGAAGCACTTTTGTTTTTTCTCACTTAAGTATCAATCTGTGCACACAAACGAAAGAAAATAATTAATAACTAAATATATGTATAAATAATTTTGGCTTTTATTTTCGAGAAATATTCTAAGATATGTGAAATGTTCTACTTTAATATTACAATTATGTGCATAGCTTAGAGGATTTGATCCTTTTCCAGAACTCTGTTCCCCATTCCTACAGCTGTTGAAAAACACTGCATTTCAGAAATGGTACAATATAAGTTTTTTTTTCAACCCCCTTTTCCATTAGCGAAGACTTCTGATCCAGGAAGAAAAAAAAATTAGCACTACAGCACTTATCTACACCCCTAAAGAATACAAAAAAAAAAAATCTGATGCATACTCCAACTTCAAAAAAAAATTTTTTTTTTTTTTGTAATGTGCACATAAACAAAGTTTTGTACCAGGGAAAAATAATTTTATTTTATTTATTAAAAAAACATTTTCAATAGTAATATTAAAACTTTTTTCGAAGTTTTGTTACGAAATTTTTTTTTTTTTTTTTTGGCTAATTTTATTTCTGCTTGGTATCTTTTTGATTCTTATTTTGAGTTTAAACTTTTATTTCTACCCAAGTGATATAGCTGCATTTTATCAAATCAATGGCAATCTAAAAAATAACAAAGTCTTAGATGCTGAACAAACCAAAATTTCTTCTTAAAACTTGTTCACTTAGAATGAGGTTGTTTTTTCTCTCTGCTTTTCATTTATTAAATTTCAAACTGTACAGTATTATAAACAGAAACTTAACCTTACATCTTTATCTGAATATTGTCAATCTGAAATAAAGGTTTAGGTATTTTAAATTCAATATATATATATATATATATATTTCAAATTATAGTTTCATTTTCTTGTTAAAATAAAGCCAGTATACTCTTTGGCTAACGATATTCACTTAAACTAAAGATAAAGT